TATGGCAAACTCACAACTGTCGTGCAATTGCTTTACAAAGACCGATACCAAGTGATCATGTTTAAGTGTCGATGGTTTGATACGAACCCAAATAGGCAGGGAAGTATTAAAATCGATCATGGGTTACTATCTGTGAACATGAGCAGAACTTGGTATGATGACGACCCTTACATTTTGGCAAACATGGCAAAACAAGTTGTGTATCTAAATGACCCTAAAGCGGGGAACGATTGGAAAGTTGTTCAGCATATGGATCAGAGGAACGTGTATGCTATACCAAAACTAGACCCATCTAACAACGACGTCGACGTCGTTGACCAACGTTTAGACTCTTCCATGGAAAATGATGCACATACACTTCTCGATACAAATGTTGTTCAAGAACCATTTCAGATTGACGGAGTGTCTTCAAGAGAAATACCGATTCAGTCAATTACAATTGACCTCGGTGATCTTCCGCGATACGATCCAACCATGGGCCCGAACAACGACGATGATGTACTTATGGAGGAGGAGGAAGAAGAGGAAGAAGAGGAAGAGGAGGAGGAAGAAGAATGGGAGACGAATAGTGATGATAGTGATGATAACTCAGGTTATTATAGTTCATCTGATGAATAATGTAATTTATTTGTAATGTAATGAAATGTACTTGTTATATCAAAACCTTATAAATACATGCTGAAATGAAATGTACATGTTTTCTCTTTGTGTCAGTGACTTTCCCTAATTAACGTCACATATATGCATTGAGTTTTGTAAAAAGACGACTGAATAAAGGTATGACAAAATATAAATATAGTATGACAAAATGGCAATTCTATAACTTATCATATAAATATATGCTTTAGTCTCATGAAATAAGTTTTTAATTTTAATTTAATGAGACCCCAAAATCCAAGCGATATGGTGGGACCTAAATGTAGAGTCAGTTTACTGTATAGTGTAAGCAAAATACCATTTTATAAAAAAAAGAAACATATATATTATTGCTTTCTACGTTGTCGGTGTTCGCGTATTGTAATATTGCATATGCATACAAACAAAAATGATGATATGAGAATATATATATACATAATTAAAAAATATTTAAGTTTGAATTAGAGCATGCATGCATGTGCAATTTAATCTCAAAGGCTAGACCGACATTCTCGGTTGGTTAGAATCGATTTGGGCCTAACCGGGAAGGCATATTTAAGCTGTTTTTGGCCCAAATTTGAAAATTATTTAGGTAATTTTTAGGCCTTTTAAAGCGCATTACAATATTTTAAAAAAGAAAACAATAACAATAGTTTAGTTTTGAACTTTTGAAAAGAAAATGCTACAAATTATCTATTATAAATATAGTATAAAAAAATATAAATATATGCTTTGTTAAATATAAATATAAATATAGTATAAAAAAATATTTACACTAAATGTCAATATATTTTTTTTTTTAAAACAACTTTTTGCGCGACGAATAAAAAATATGACGTCGCCAAAGACACGTTTGTGCGACGATTAACTCCGTCTCGCAAGAGAAATTTTCCAAAAAAATTTACAAGTGTCCCGGAATAGTTTCGAAGCGTCACTTGCACGACGGAATAATAACAGCGTCGTTAAGTTAACCCTTGCGCGACGAAACAATGAAGTTAATTCCGTCTCGCAAGACAATTTTCCAAAAAAATGTACAAGTGTCCCGGAATAGTTTCGAAGTGTCACTTGCGCAACGGAAAAACAACAGCGTCATTATGTTAACCTTTGCGCGACAAAACAATGAAGTTAATTCCGTCTAGCAATACAAATTTTCCAAAAAAATTTACAAGTGTCACGGAATAGTTTCGAAGTGTCACTTGCGCGACGGAATAATAACAGCGTCGTTAAGTTAACCCTTGCGCGACGGAATAATAACAGCGTCCCAGAATAATTTTCCTAAAAATACAGGCACAGGAAATAGTTTAAAAGTGCTCTTTGCGCGACGAGGTAATTATACCTCGACACAATAACATTTGCGCGACGAAGAATGTTTGTCGTGCAAACTATTTACAGGCGAAAACTTTCCTTCGTCGCGTAAACCAATTTAATTTTTTTAAAAATATTTCTATACATGACAGTTGTTGCGTCGATTCAGCTGCACCAAAATAGATTCAGCTGCATCCTCAACTTGTGATACTCGCAAGTGCACGAGCCGTTT